CTTCAAAATAAAACTGGTGTTTCTCCTGTTTATTCCTGCCTCATCTTCACTTCAAGTGAAGGAGAACATGGTTCGTGTCTGCATTCATCAGTGTGTTTTTAAAGAGACAAGTAATGGGAAAAAGCGTTCTGAGAGATCCTGAAACAGTCAAAATGAACATAAATACTCAGTTTGCAAAGCTGAGAGTGTACATAGGGATACATCAGTATTGTTTTAACACCAACTTGACACCAAACTATTCCTTTAATGTGTCTGAGACCATCAGTTGTTGTGCTGAGGTGTTAACAGTCCAATTCACCTATTTCAGTAATCCATCTTATGGCAAAACCTCAACAAAATAAAGAGAAACAGTCCATTACTTTAAACCTTGAAGGTCAGTCATGCTGGAAAATTTCAACAACTTTGAAAGTCGCAAAACCATCAAACATTATGATGAAACAAGCTCCCATGAAGATGCCCAAGTCAAGGACTGGCAGCTGTGGCAGAGGGTATTGCACGTTCATTAGATATTATCAGGTATTTACCAATTAACATAGGGTTAGCATAGAGCCCAGGACAGTGGCCCAAAACACTCCTCCAGGCTACAGAAGGGCTATTGGACCAAGAAGGAGAGTGATGGTGATCTGGACTTTACAGTCAGCTGACAGCAAAGCTCAGCCAAGATAGTCTGGGATGAGATGGACCACAGAGTGGAGGAAAAGCAGCCAACAAGTGCTCGGCACATGTGGGAACTCTGTCAAGACTGCTGGAAAAACTGTGTAGGCGACTACCTCATGGGGATGGTTGAGAGAATGAAGGTGCAGAAATGTTAGCAAAGCAATAGGTAGCTACTTTTAAGTAAATACAGTGTAAAACATTTTGCTTTAACACATATTTGCTTACCACATAATCCAGATGTTATTTCCTAGTTTGGATGTCTTTAGTGTTAACTTACGATGCAGAAAATAATAGAGAGAATTGGTCCAAACATTTTACTGGTACTGTGTGTGTATATGAGCAGTATAAACACTCTATAAAGACAGTATAAAGCAAAGGTTTTTGTTCATCTGTGCAGGAGAAGAACTTCCTTCAGATGGTGGTAGAGGCAGGAAGCCCCGGGATTCAAAAGCAGATTGTCAAACCTGAGAACCTGAAGTGCATGGAAGTCCGATATGAACAAACACTGCAGGAGCTGGCCAATGTTATCAAGGTATCATGTCTTTAACATTTATGAAATGTTGAAATAGATGAATATCCCCTTTCAAGGATTCTGTGTATATCTGCCCCATTATATTATTAAATCACAAAGTATGATTGAATAAAACCAATTCCTATTTGCTCAATGCATAGCAACGATTTTGTCTATTTTAGTGCACTAATAAGGCAGTAGTTACTAGGTCCCACCTCAGGAAAACTGAAGCTCCACTGTTTCGTTTTCATGACTTGGATACACACACAAAAATCTAACTACATCAAGTACATAAAGCACTAAGTTTGCCTTCAAATACATTTCCTTTTTTTCCTCTCTACAGGGTGAGAATGCAAAATAATGGAACGACATTGACGTTTTCCTCTGAACAGACATCTGTGCCTTATAACCATCAATCACACTCGCTACTAGGGGCAATTTAGAGTCCAGAACCCAGCCTGGCAACCCCGCCGAAAATCTTCCAGATCTGCCCCTGCCTAAAGCTCAAGATGATGCCTTCAAATATGCTGTGTTGCCAACACGCTAAACTGCAAAATTCAATGTACCATGATATACAGAACAAATAAAAGCAGCGAGCCCTCACATGTAAGCCACAGAACATCATGGGTTCTCTGAAATCGCACAGCGTCAGCTTCTTGTTATGTGGAAATAAAGCCTGGCAATTAAAACACGTGGATGGAAACAATCAAACATCATGTCAGGTGACTTTGTCTCAGTCCAGTCAGGTTTATTCCAGGTTTAGTCCTTGCAGTACATAAACACGGTCGGTGTTATACAACCGTTGTGCTATCAGTCCCATTTGGAAGTCTTCCTCCTCATGTATCGCTCTCCTTCACTGTCGATGGCCTCGTATAGTTGCTGATCGTTTTCTTTCGTGGCGTGCAGGTAGCCCAGGTAGCCTACACACAAAGTGATGGTCACCAGTCCGAACACCATCACCGGTTTATTCTGCAAAACAACAGAACTCTCTGTTACAGTCAAGGGTTTCGAGGGGATGCATCTGTCAGGCTGCTGATGTACTATGTAGCGGTGTTACTCTGTAGGAGCTAGCTGCTAAGCTAACTTCTAACGACGCTACTGCTTTGCTCAGGGAAAAGCAGACTGAGCGTGTGTCAGTGTCTTACAGGTTTTATGAAGAGTTCGGGGTTGACGGCTCGGAACAGCGTGGTGGTCTTGGCTCCCCTCAGCCCGGGGACCCTGTAACCCTTTTCGCCGGGATTCTTCTGCCCTTTACCGGCATCTTTATCTGACATGTCCTGTCGAACTTATGCACGACACTTCGTTGGAAACATATATGATAACGAAGCTCGAAAGCTGAATAGCGCCGCCTTCCTAATATTATTGCTACTGGTCTTTCTTCTTCTCTTAATGGCGGTTATCAAACCAGCGCAGTTATATGTATAGCGCCACCTACTGCACTGGGGTGTCACAGGGTTTAATGTACTATATTTCTATATACTGTATCTTACTTTCTAATCCCGCATTTTTGAGAAAATTAAATAGAGCCATACAGGATTCCCACATCTTCTCACCCATCCCCAAAATCCCTTGCAGATTCCATCCTAGTCCTAACTCATAAATACTCAGATACACACTTTGACATTAAATAAAAGGTTGATTTTAGTCCAGTATGTCCAAGTCGTAATCTTGGGGAAAAACACTTCTGCTCTTCTACACATAATTTGAAAACTTAACATATTTCTGTATTTAATAGTGTCTCCCTTTTGATATGTGTCCCACTTATTCTGCCCCCATTGGTCACAAGTGACGTATCCCTAAATTAACCATTTAGAATTACCAGGTATTCTACATGATTTGCTCATAACACGTGATCTCATTTTCAAGTATAGTCAAACACTGTGCTCTCCAAAATAACTCCACATAATTCCTGGTAAAAGAAATTCCTGGGGAAAAGGGCTACAGGGCCCAATGGGCTCAGGGGAGCCCAGACCACCACACTGTCAACCCTGAACTCGTCATAAAACAATCACATTGCTGGTTTTGGTGTTTTCATGAGAATTGTTGATGACAGCAGAATACAGAAAAATGCCAACTTTTTCTTTATACCATCAAAATTAAAAGTTCCTAATGCAGAAAAATGCCCCTATGTGAATCATTTCTCTATTTCTTGATTATCATTACTGATCATGTATTTTGTGGGTGAGGTTGTAGGTAATCTTTAACATAGCACCATATTTAATAAGTGGATCACATTTTGCATATAAAATCTTATTTTGCAATAACAGCTGTAAATTTCAAATGCATGCGGGTCGCTCCTATTCAAGTATTTCTGAAGTGTTCACACAGAATTAAAAGGGAGATACAAACTGACGAGTTCAAGATGATTTCCCAGTTTGTCACTTTACCCATATGTATTTAGATAAGAACAGCGCCTCCTGGTGCTTGGAACACTCTACTGCAAGGACCCTCCTGATCATTCATCATCATCATCATCATCACCAACTTTATTTATATAGCACATTTAACACAGCCGAAACTGACCAAAGTGCTTAACACAATATCCACAACACCCCTTAAAAACAACATAAACGAACAACAAAACAAAAACATCCTACTCAAAACGACCCCCTATCATAAATCACAAGCTCAACAAGACACAGGATCACACTGGTTCGAACGCCAGACGGTACAGATGAGTCTTCAAATAGGTTTTAAACGTGGACAACGACGGGCCTGTCTAATATAAAGGGGCAATGCATTCCACAACTTAGGCGCCCCCACAGAAAAAGCTCTGTCCCCCCTAGATCTCCGCCTAGCCCCTCAGTACCTCCAAGAGCAGCTGGTCAGCCGATCTGAGGCACCGGGAGGGGATATAGGGATGTGGCAATTCCGTAAGATAATGGGGGACCAAACCATTTAAAGATTTAAAAACAAATAAAAGAATCTTAAAATGAATTCTAAAGCACACCGGCAGCCAATGCAGGGAAGCCAAAATGGGTGTGATATGGTCACTTTTACGTCCTCCAACCAATAGACGAGCAGCAGCATTTTAGACTCTCTGGAGGCGGGCAAGGGCGACCTGACTGAGCCCAAAATATAGTGCATTACAATAATCCACACGAGACGTAATAAATGCACGTATTACCGTATTACCCTCTCAAAATGCTGCCGTGAAAGAAAGGGCTTCATCTTTGCCAGCTGCCGGAGGTGATAAAAACTGGCCCGTACAACTGCATTCACCTGATATTCCACTCTAAGAACAGATTCTTGATGATTTATAAATTCAGTATGTTTACCACCCAAAACTATGTACTGTTAATGTATGCACTCAATAATAAACGCAGTAGTATTAGGTTTACTGAACACAACAGGACCATGTGAACCACCAGAAGATCTGACCAATTATAGACTATTCTTGAGGATAGTAGGGCAGGGGGAAAGATGACACCTGATGCTGTGTATATGAACTGTTAATTCGGTGTCGTCGTCGTCGTCCCACGAACCTAAACACGACAGGAAGCAGCTTTTATTTGCATTAGACAGCTCCATGTTACTATGTCTACATGTATATGCTTCACTTGTAGAGTCAATTTTCTTGTTCAACAGGTGACCTAGAGGAGGGATCACATGATTTATAGGCATTTACAGTAAACTAGTCAAAAGAAAACAGAAAGCAGTCGTATGCTATACAAAGGGATCAGATACAGCGTTGTTTGCTCTGAGTCTGGCTGGATAAGGTGTGGCACAGACCTGCGCCTTGCAGGTGCGCAGCGCTGGTGAGCAGCGTACACACCCGACACCGTCCGCTCTTACAGCTAGAGGAGGAATCCTCCGCATACTGCGGGTAAGTGCTCTCCTTTCTGTTTGCACAGTTTTTGTATGTATTCTTTTAGGCTAGCCTACTCGTTTGTAAGATGGGATATCAGCGTCTTACAAAAATAAACAAGCCAACATACATAGTAGCGCATATTATAACGTAGGGCCTATATTGTCTGGTGCGCTCTGTCCTTAGAAATAGCCTACACCTGTTACAGCAGTAAAGATCCAGTTGACCACCTCGAAACTGTATCAGTGTCCTCATTGTTAAGAGTATACATGTTAAATTTAATATATATATACAGTGGTGTGAAAAAGTGTTTGCCCCCTTACTGATTTCTTATCTTTTTGCATGTTTGTCACACTGTAATGTTTCAGATCGTCAAACAAATTTATATATTAGTCAAAGATAACACAAGTAAACACATCATGCAGTTTTTAAATGAAGGTTTTTATTATTAAGGGAAAACAAAATCCAAAACTATATAGCCCTGTGTGAAAAAGTGTTTGCCCCCTAAACCTAATAACTGGTTGGGCCACCCTTAGCAGCAACAACTGCAATCAAGCATTTTCGATAACTTGCCATGAGTCTTTTACAGCGCTGTGGAGGAATTTTGGCCCACTCATCTTGGCAGAATGGTTGTAAGTCAGCCACATTGGAGCGTTTTCGGGCATGAACTGCCTTTTTAAGGTCATGCCACAGCATCTCAATTGGATTCAGGTCATGACGTTGACTAGGCCACTCCAGTCTTCATTTTGTTTTTCTTCAGCCATTCAGAAGTGGACTTGCTGGTGTGCTTTGCATCATTGTCCTGCTGCAGATATAGACAGATAGATTTGCATTTGACATTCTGTGTTTATGTATCAGTAGCTGTCCATATATAGTCTATATATACTATATAACTTTCTTAGGTCAGTTAGTGTCACTACTTTACTTTAAGAATGTGAAATGTCAGAATAATAATAATAGAGAAAATGATTTATTTCAGCTTTTATTTCTTTCATCACCTTCCTAATGAGTCAGAAGTTTACATAACTCGGTTAGTATTTGGTAGCCATAGCCTTTACTTTGTTTAACTTGGGTCAAATGTTTCTGGATACCTTCTACAAGCTTCTTCCAATAGGTTGCTGGACTTTTTGCCCATTCCTCCAGATAGAACTGATGGAAATGAGTCAGGTTTGAAGGCCTCTTTGCTCACACACGCTTTTTCAGTTCTGCCTACAAATACTCTATTGGATTGAGGTCAGAGCTTTGTGATGGCCACTCCAGTACTTTGACTTTGTTGACCTGAAGCCGTTTTACCACAACTTTGGAAGTCTACTTTGGGTCATTGTGCATTTGGAAGACCCATTTGCAATTCACATCCTGGCTGGTGTCTTGAAATGTTGCTTCAGTATATCCGCAAAATCTTCCTTCCTCATGATATCTATTTTGCGAAGTGCCCCAGTCCCTCCTGCAACAAAGCACCCCCACAACATGATGCTGTGGCAATGTATTCTAGTCATGTCACACAATCTGGTGGTCACAGAACTCAGTGTAACACCAAACTACTCTGATGTTGGTTTGTGGTCATTTGAATATCTGCAAATGTGTCTGTCCCACTGAAGCTCAGTATCATTTGACATGATGAGAGCAATAAAACAAGTCCTGCTTTTATGATTTTGTGTGTAACGGGGTCCTGTATCTGCAGAAAAGGTCCTGATGAAGATATGACTCCGCAAGCAGGGAATGTGCCTCTAAATTCATCAGTCTATGAACATTAGAAAATCATTCAGAGTGAAAAAACCCAAACACCATTAATGTTCCTATAGTATGTACAGATATACAGTATCACACAACCAAACCTAAGAGGAGCCACACATTTATCAAAAATGTCCTACATTTTTTTAAGCCATTAAATTAGTCAACACCTCTCAGCTTGAAGAAAAACTGAACATTATCACCTTCATGAAGGATGATTTATTTCACAACTGGATTAGATTGAGTTTGTTTTAGCTTGGTGTGTAACCTGCGTACTGACAAAGCTGCAAAGAGGCTCTTTACAGCCTGTATATAAAGGTGGAGGTCTACAAATCAGCCACACGTTACAAAATTATGTAATTATTGTGTTAATACAGTGCAGACCTTTCATAAAGAGTCCACATTACAGATAATGTTGTGCAGTGAATGGAAATCAATGGTTTTCAGAAAGGTGGTCATTAGTGATGTATATATAAATGATGTGATTTGTAGTAAATTGGTAGAAACAAACAGAAACATTGGTATACTTATGTGCTGCTATATTCAATTGCATCTTGGTTTATTCCCTGACAGGAGACTTGGAGGAAGATGAATTGGGGCTTTTTGGAAAACGTTCTCAGTGGGGTGAACAAGTACTCTACCGTGATCGGACGCATTTGGCTCTCTGTGGTCTTTCTCTTCAGGATCTTGGTGTATGTGGCAGCAGCCGAGCAAGTGTGGAAGGATGAGCAGAAGGATTTTGTATGCAACACCCAGCAGCCTGGCTGTGAGAACGCTTGCTTTGACCACTTCTTCCCCATCTCACAGGTGCGTCTCTGGGCTCTGCAGCTCATCATGGTGTCTACTCCATCCTTGTTGGTTGCCCTGCATGTGGCCTACAGGGAGCACCGGGAGGCCAAACACAAGCGGAAACTGTACAAGGACAAAGGGAGCATTGATGGAGGTCTGTTCTGCACCTACACAGTGAGCCTGTTCTTCAAGATAGCCTTCGAGGTGGGCTTCCTACTCACTTTCTACTTCTTGTATAATGGCTTTGAGGTGCCCATACTGCACCGCTGCAGTGAGAGTCCCTGTCCTAACACGGTCGACTGTTACATTAGCAGAGCCAAAGAGAAGAAGATCTTCCTCTACATCATGGGCTGCACCTCTATTCTGTGTATTGCTCTGAATTTTGTGGAGCTCATGTACATTGTATGGAAGAGGTTGTGGAAATGTTTCACCAAGTTGTATGTCCCCATGGAGGAGAAGGCTTCCAGCCACAGCCGACGTGTTTCCATTGTCAACACATACGTCTCTACAGAGCCCACAGTAAACACAGAGGACAGCAATGTACAACCTGCATCCACTGCTGAAAACCAGCCTGTCTGGTCTCAGAGGGCTGCGAATAACTGAAACAGTGAAATTGAAACAGATTTTAGGATACAGTTAGTTGTAAACTGAGAGATACAGCATTTATTTGTGTGAGCATACTGACACATTAATGACACTAAGTAGGGTTTTAACACTATTACAGCCTCATATGCCCTCCTCTATGCACTTATGTTATGACACTCTGACTTGTCTAACTCCTGACAGTATAAATTTTCCAGTTAAGGATTCGGTTCTGCTGGAAACATGAATTTCACATAGCTCCAGTACATATATAAAAACACATCTATGGGTACATCCCAATTCTCTTAACTGATCATTCTTTGCTCCTCAATCCTCACTTGACCCAGAAGTCATTTCGGTATGACATCTTGACAACCGTCCCAAAGCTCTTATTCCTGCAGCGAGGGGGCTGCCTGGAGGAGCCGTGAGCAGGGTTGCACCATCCTTTGTCTTTTTAACTAACACACCCCTTTCTCAGAAATCAGTTGGTGACTGGACACCTGAAGTAGGACTGGTGGACAGGACATCTCATGACTCTGACACCCTGCTTAGACGTGGTTTTAAAATGTGTCCTTAGTCATTGGTTCACAAGTGGACAGCACTAAATACAAGTGTGAATGAGCACCAAGACAGATTGTGGTCAAATCACTGAAACCACTTGCCAAGGTGTTCTGGCACACATTTGACCACAATCTTTTGTAGTATAAATGTTAGTGCGTCCTGATGCATCTCCGACAAGGCCATTTGAGGAAAATAAAAATGGCATTTGTGAAATCATGTTTATATTTCTGGATTATCATTACTGATGAATTGTGTATTTTGTGGATGAGGGTGTAGGTAGTCTTTAATAAAGCGCCATATTTAATAGGTTGATTGCTTGTTTTGTATATAACATTTTATTTTGCAATAATAGTTATATGTGTCAAATAAATGTATTTGAGTCACATATTTTACTGTGAAATGTATCTCAGTAGATATGGTAATAAAATAGAAATAACTCCGTTTAAGTAAAAGTGCCAGATTTTGAGGTAATTCAGTTTTATATTCCATCAGGACAAGGTGCCCATATTAACTCATCATATAATAATAATTATAATATAAACAGCATTTATATAGCACTTTACAACTCAGAAGGGCCCAAAGTGCTGCACAGTATATACATATCTATCGACTAACACAATACTAAACAGTCAACAAGATAATCATAGAGCATAAAACAACATGTAGACAATGCCATTTAGAGGCAGGCATATAGGGTTATCCTGGAGGTAGGCATTTGAAAAGAAATACACATTTTAAAAGGGAGACATTAAAAACTGCCAGTGGAGTTCAAAATGATTTGGATAGTTTCTCAGTCCATGTCACATTACCCAGATGCTTCCCAGTGTGGGAATAACCTACTGCAAGGACACCTTCTGATAATTCTTGAAGACTGATCAAGTCCAGCTATATAGCTATACATACGTACAAAGAAATAATGGCCCTGTTTGCAATTTCCTTGTTTTCTACATTAATGGGTCATGAAATGTGTTCTGATCTTCATCAAAGTCACAAATATCAACAAAGACAGTATTTCTAAGCTGATAAAACACAAACAGCTATGATCTTTCATGTCGTTATCGAACACACCCACTAAACATACAAAGTGATGTTGGAAAAAAGTAATGGCAACACAAGGCTTCTGATGTTTGAATGTCAACTGGAGTCAGGTGTTGGCAAACCTGAAACAAGCAATGAAACAACTATGAAGGTGTGGTTTAGAACTAATCTGATTTATAAAAACACTCAGTGTCACTGGGCTTTTCACAAGCAGCATCAGCTGATGTGAGCCAGGCCTCGCAAAAAAAAAAAAAAAAAAAAAAAAAATTCAAAGAACCCCTCAAAGGTTGTTGATTTGCATGGAGCTGGAAGTAGTTACAGAGTCATCTCATAGACTTTAGGTAGTCATCAGTCCACAGTTAGATATATTGTCTATCAATGGAGATGATTTGGTACTGTGGCTACTCTCCATAGAAGTGGGTGCCCAGCCAAGATCACTCCAACGGTACAATGCAGAACGCTCACTGAGGTAAAACTGAACCCTAAAGTAACAGCAAAAGACTTGAAGGATTCACTGGAGTTACTTAGGGAGTCCATGGCATCCTTTTCTATGTTTTCTGACTTGTTTACAATGTTACAAGAATCACTTATCATCTTAAACATGACTGAAAGCTCAAAAATGAGGTGTAGCTGTGTTATTGTACTTCTATGCAGAAGCAACTTGGTTTGTACAAGTCCTGCAAACTCTTGCTGGCAAGACTTTTTTTCCAACTATGTGAAGTTTTACGTAGTACTTTACGGATTTCCTTGAATTGTCATAATCTTCTGGCTGTGTACATTCATGTTAGCTTGCCTGACATCAGTGCAGTGACGTGCGGTCAGGGGAGGCAGGGGAGGCAGAGCCTCCCCTGTCATTCTTGACAAGAAAGAAAAGTTAACCA